ATTTCCTCCAGCAATCTAGCTATGCCTTTAAAGACAGTGTCCAAGTATGTGTATGTCAGTGTGTGTATAACAATCACTGAAATTAAGTGACTACAAATGGGATGACTAATACAAAGGGCTCAAATAAATCTTGCTCTAAGTGCAAAATGTCCCTATACAATCCTTCTGTCAAATGTGGCAACTAGTAGCAGCATAAATTGCTGCTTGAAAAAAAATTGGCTATATAAAGTACTAGCAGCAAATATTTCTATCTTCACATGCTGCGACTCTCTATATATGTTTTCAGAGACAAGACCTGAAACATCAACAGATATTAACTAATTTTGAACTATATGCCAACAAACAAGAGGTTTTCCACATAATGATAATGATATACAGGTTCGCTTGTCTACGTGGAGCATGCAATAGTGAGCTTGACAATCTCAACATATGCCTAAAGGAACATGCATGCACTACCAGCACTTTTTAGAGCTTTGACAGTCCTTTGCTTAGTTTCAGGTTCTAAACACCAGCAGTGCAGTAGCCAAAGCATCTTGTTCTTATGCTGGAAGATCAAACCTACAGATAATAAGCAGAAATTACATTTAAGGTTTTAAAATGACAAAGATTTCTTCAAGCAGCCTGGGACCTTTCATGGAACAAGACAGCGAGCCTCTATAACTTCTGCTGCTTACAGACATAGCTGTGTAAATGCCAGGAAGAAAAAGTAGGTGAGTGCTATACAAAACTGGCCTTAAAAATGTAACCTGTCATCATCCTGGAAAGACTTGTGGCTCTGGGACTGGCTCCATTTTACTTTTTCTATTTCAACATTCACAGGAAGAGATTAATGTTCATTTCTACTGTTTTTCTTATTGAACATGACAAGTTTTCCTACAGTCCCATGCTCAGGCAGCCATTAACTTAAAAGGCAACCTGTAAAAGGAATTATCTTCAATTACTCCATACTGTTAATTCATTCAGCCTTTATTTACTTTTCAAAATCTTACTGATACTTAGCCCATTTTTTAACCCATTTTTCACTTTCTGGAGACAATTTTCAAGGCCTAAGCTTAGATATCTAGGGAAACTCAGAGAAACCAGATGGCTTTTGTATTGTCAGTGGAGACTGGCAAGTGATTCTCTAGAGCTGCTTCTATGTTTCTCTCTCCATTAATTACAAGAACAAGAGAACATAGTAATTTAAAGATATTCTATTGGTAGCAATTACTAAAACAGTAATTACTAGACTTAGACATCAAGAGTCACATGCAGGGATGGAGCTTTTCATCAAAAATATTGAGAAGGTTCTTTCTTTCCCTCTTCCACTTTCTTCAAAATTCCCTTTTATTTCATTGCTTAGATTGCAAACTGCTTGAAGAGACTGTCTTGCAACCTATGCACCTTACTTTTCAACAAGAATCTTGTCTCACTGATGATCAATACAGTTTTTTATAGGCTTGGTATTGATTCACTTAAACAGGCTCTGCTTGATACCTGCAGAGGGAAGAGCTAGTCTACCCAAAATGCAGTTGGCTTCCAGTTCAAACAGACAAACTGAGTTTCCAGCTGTTAGTCCCTTGTTCCTCATAATTGCATTTACCTTGACTGGAAATAAAATTAATAGGAAGGCAATAATCTGATCTAGTTCCATAAAGCATGCACCAGAGTAAGCCCAGACACATTGCTAAATTATGAACACCTTCAGGAAATACCATGGTTAATTTGGTAGGAACTCCCACTGTCAAAATTCTTTTGGAGGCCCCAGAAAGCAGCTCCTTGGCTGGCAAGTCAAGTAGTGCTTCCCTTACTCTCCAAATTAGCTGGATACCCAAATGAAATTACTGATCTTTTGGTTCAAAACCAAAACACACACAAGTATAATGAGCACTGCTTTCCTTTGTGGAAGAATAGATAATCAATGGCTTGAAAAGTGAAAAGATACATTAGTGTTAAGAGCAATTTCTCTGATTGAGTGAAGCTCTTCTGTGCCATCATCTATACTATTCTATCATAACACTTTTACTAACAACTTGAGGTATTTATTATGCTTTTAACCTGGCTTGAAACCTCAGCAAGAAAGCAAATACAAAAAATCCCTAAAAACAAACAAGTACTAATTTGCCTTATCTGTTCCAAAATATGATTTACCACTGCAGAATTTGAGTATTTACTATGTAAAACCAATTTCTGCTCACTGGGGACCAGTGACAGGACCTGAGGGAATGGCATGTAGCTGTGTCAGGTGATTTAGGGTGGGTCCCTTCTAACTCAGGATATTCTATGAATCTATGAATATGAAGGAATTGGCTCCTGGCACTATCTTGTGTGGTATATGTGTATTTGAGACAGAAACTCTAGTGCTTTTACTATGCGTTTTCACCCATAGATTTCACTGCCTTACTGTGTATCAGAGAAGCAGCAATAGAACTATTAGATTTAAAATAAAAACAATTGTGTAATCAAATCCCAAATGCTGTACCAAGTGTCAGTTACAGATAAATGGCAATTCCTAATCCTTTGTATTAATGACAGATAATCTGAAAGTTCTGTCAACACTGACAGCTTGAATGACTGGATTATAGGCATAAAAGTATAATTACAGAAACACCTGCACTGTCTGCCCTTTACTGCAGTCTAGATTCTTGATGGCTCAAAATAAGCCAAAGCTTGAAACAATTAATAACTATGCTTACAAAAATTCTCTTGAAAACCAGTTGTTCTAAACAATTTTCCAAACTTCATCTGTTTTAGGGTTTGTTTAATTTTATTTCATCTATGAAAAGATGAAAAGCTCCATGATTTTAGTCCCATTTTTAGTCAATAAAGACTCAGTGGGAGAGGTGCAGTACGAAAGAAAGTGGGATGGTTTCTTTGTAACAATAGTAGGACTTGAGGTACATGGGTTCAGTGCCTGGCTCTGACAAAAATCTCGTGTGACCTCAGGCAAACCACTTGGTGTTTTGAACATTTATCTGTAAAGCAGGGATAACCACTATCCCAGACAGGATTTGCTTGGGTAACATTTATCAACATATCAGAGGTGTTTAGAAAGTCATAAAGTAAACTTCCACCGACCATATATACAAACTCAGTGGCCAAAAGGACCTAGGGTATGCCAGTGTTATCAGGCATCTCTCATAAAAACCTCCTTCATACTACCACCCTTCAGCCTGCAATGCAAAGAGGTCTCACAACAGCAGTTTGACATTTCTACAAAGACAAACTTCGAAGTAGAATTCAGTCAAAGAATGTTGGGGGAAATGTAACCTGTTGTTGGGAAAAAGCAATACAAACCCTGCAAGCATTTATTAGCACAGTGCTCCAAACCACACCACTCAGCAGACCTCCTTTTAGTAAGGCTTCAGATGTACAAAAGCAATGAAAACCAAGTTAAGTGCAAGACTTAAGGGGTGTACCTTGTTTTTCTAACAGCTATGTAAAACCATATAGTTCATCCCATCAATTTAAGATAATTTGTGTACAAACAATGACACCTATGCCTGGAAAGCTGCCCTTCCCCATTTCGTATGTAGTGTACACCTCACCTAATTAAACTGTGCCAAACAAGGGTCTTGTCTAGGACAATTTGCCCTGATTTCTGGAATAGTCAGCACAGAGAAACAAATAATGCCTAGAAGTAATTTATGACACCCTAAGTAAGATGGGCTGAGTTTTCTATTTCTCTTTCTTGCCTGTATAAGAACATATAGGATGACTGACTTTAGATCAGATACCAACATGTAGGGAGACAAAACGTGTTAAGAAAACTCCTCTCTCTTGCTGCTGTGAACACACCCTCTCCCACAGCATACAGAGACCAGGGGAACGGACAAGGAAACAGGTCACAATCCTTTGACAGGCTATGTGTCAAAGGAAAGGTGATATTCTGCATATAAGGCTGGACTAAATAAAACATTAAAATGCAATGCCATGGAAAATGAGACATATGCTGGAGAATTAATTCAGTCCAGTTGGAGAACTGACCCAGTATATACACTACAATTGCTTCATACAATATCCCAATCTGTTTCTCAGTCATTCTGTCTTTAGTGCCCATCTGTAAGCTGTACCTATATTTTTCTTCCAACAGCATAAATCTCAGAAACCTGCTTATAAAGATCTTTTGGATCTATATTTACACATACTCAGTGACACCGTTACCTACAAATTAGGGATGGCAATACTTTTCAGCCAAAATGCTAGAAAACTAGCTAACAACAAGAAAGTATAACACTTCTTTTCAATTAGCCCAAAGAGTTGGTTTCATCTCACAAAGGCAGATTACTCTGAATTTCAGCAATAAATTTGCCTCAGTAGTGAGGTTTCCCTCCCTTGTTCACCACAGTACAAATGATGGTATTTTAGTGGCTTAACAAAAGCTTTGAAAGTAATAAATAAATATTAGAAATGAAATCTAAGAATGTGTCTCCTTTACCACAATTTATGTTGAATTTCTTTGAAGTTGTCACAAAGCCACCTTTTGAAAAACTTTGTGTCGAAAGAAGACCTTTCTCTGTTACTTACATTTGTTAAAAGAACACTCAAAAAGAGCAAATTATAACACAGAGAAAAGAAAAACAGATATTGAAAATGTATTCAGATCTAGCTAGTGTTTTTGCAGATAACCACAGAAACAAAACAGAGAACTTGAGTCAGCTTGGTAACACATCCTGTTGATATTACATACACTATTTAATTGTCCTTCAGTCAGGAAGGACTGATTGGGACTCAGTCTTTGGAGGTAAGACTCTGGCAAGTGTTCTCCATATTCCCTTCAGCATTAGCCTGAATTAGTTTTACACAGCATTGTAGGAGGCCAGGAACATGCAACTAGTTATTTGCCCTAGGTGAGGAACAGCTGGATGGACTCAGCTACTTATGATCTGGCCACAGATACAAAGAATCTTAGACTGTCTAAAATAGAACTGACTCATCTAGTTCTGGTGGATGCTTTTTGTTTCAGTCATCAATAGCTCTCAGTGCCTCTGCAGGCTCAGAACACATGATAATGTACTCACCATCATCTGCTGAACATGAAATATTTCAGCTCCAGTGGCAGAGAGGCGGTTTGGAAATGAAATGTCAAGAAAAGCTCCAGGGAGAGTGCTTGGTCCAGCATTGTAAACCTGTAAGAGAATAAATGAAAACAAATCAAATTACATATATGACTTCTGATAAATGGGAAACCACTGTAAAACCAGGGAGTATAGGTAAATTCAAATAAATTCAAGTACTATTCAGCTTTTTCAATATCTTCAGACTAAGACTTCTTTTGTGTCAGCACAAAGTCAAAGGATTAGTCTACCTAATTGTCTTTAGGCTTAGTTCATATATCGAATGAGAAGCAATTTTGCAAGATAATTAGCAGTCATCAATAAAAACAGTATAAGTCTTCTACCTTATATACAGAGACACTGCTAGTACTCTGAGTGTTCTGGTAATACACTCTGGAAGACTGCAAGAAATGTTGCTGTCTCAGTTAACATTCTCATTTCCACCTGGTAACCACCACATTATATTTTGCATATGTTTTCCTAATGGAACAGAAGCCAAACGGTGATTGTGACTACCAGACTGTGGGTTTGCTGAGTGAGTTGCCAGAAAATACAACAACTTCCACTCAAGTTCTGGAGTTTCCAATGAAACTCTTCGTGGAAAACGTTAACCTTCTACCACTCCCATCCTCCTCCCACCACCAGATTTCAACAAAAAACTCAAACAATTTCAAGTCCACCATTGAAATGTATACAGTGAAAATTCAAAAATCTATGTTTTTTTTGCTGAAGAGAAATAATCCATGGAAAAATTTCTATGAAAATAAGTTTTCATTTGTATCTACATTTTTTTAAATAGGAAAAAATATGTCCTGGTTCTTTCTAACAACATAAATATAAATGCATACAGTAAAAACATTAAGCCCATTAGAACATTTAGCCACACTGAGACACTACTGTCAAAAGATGTAGCAATAAGTTTTTAATTGTTTAAAGGATAAATATTAAAAAAAAGGCTTTCATTCTTCAAACACTATTTATATGTGAAGACATGCCTGACCGATAAAGAGAATCGGTTTGCAATGCCAAATCCTCACAAAAACTCTGAGGCTCCAAGCAGGGGGAGAAAAATGACTACAATGGAGCGTGATAAATGCTGCATGAAATACAAACATAATGGTCCATGTTAGACATTTAAAAACTTTGATTATCTCACTGAGATCAGATATAAGAGTTACTGCAGAAAAGGCATTTTCATTGCACATCTTGTCACTCAAGAAAAAACCCACAAAAAAACATAGATTGGTTTCCTTATTAACATTAGACCTAGTATAGATTTTCATATAGAAAAACTGCTATAAAGCCCCATATTTTTGTAAATAAGCTCTTTTTCTTGGTTAAGAAAGTATTACTTTTCTCCATCTGGAGAAGTCAAATAAATGGCAGGCAAATAAGTTAGAAAAGAGTGATACAAACCATGCTTTGCCCATTATGAAACTCTACCCTTTCTCTCTGACACACACAGTTATGAGGTTTACCACATTACTGGAGAGAAGATCTGTGACTCATTATGGTACAATTTTCTACTTCTATTGAAAAAAATGAATATTGCAACTTATAAGTGTGTGCATGAGACACAAGAGGATGGGTCGGACAAATGGTGGCTCTGCTAATAAATAGATTCTCTCTTCCTTACTTGTTATCACTTTGCTTTATTGAAAATATTAATCTAGCTGAAGCATCACTGCATCTGTTCTTCATCTGGTTTTAAACAATAATTGGCTATTGGGGGAAGGGAGGGAGGAAGAACTAAAAATCCTCAAGAATAGAATCAGAATCACAAGAATTAATAGCCTAGTACACAAAAGCTTTAATGCCCTGAAATCTTGCTCTCACTCCTTAGTAAATAGCTAAGGGCGCTGCATGACAGTGGGGTCTAAACTGCTCTGGACCAGTCTGTCCACGGAGTCTGACATGTGTTATTTATTGTGAGCTGAGTGGCATTTGTGCATAGGAGAATAGAAAGGGAGAAAAATGTGAAACACTATTTTTTCACAATAAATGAACCTACCTCTTCTTGACTTGTCATTCCCTAGTTCCATCTAGCGGTCAAAAAGGATTTGATGGGCTTGTAATAGATACAGTCATGGCAGCAAGATACATGTAATTTTGGTCCCATCACAAGAGTTTGTTATAATAAATCAGCCATATACTTTGCCACATCAGGAACCTATCTAACTGTCATGTGAAGTGTAATATATAGGTAAGACTTGAATAATGTTGAGATGCTATGAGATCATAGAATCATAGAATTTTAGGGGTTGGAATGGACCTTACAGATCATCTAGTCCCAACACCCCCTGCCATGGGCAGGGACACCTCCCCACTAGACCAGAATGCTCAAGGCCTCATCCAACCTGGCTTCAAACACCACCAGGGCTGGGGCAGCCACCACTTCCCTGGGCAACCTGTTCCAGTGTCTCACCACCCTTATAGTAAAAAACTTATTTCTAAAATCTAACCTAAACTTCCCCTCCTTCAATTTGAACCCATTACCCCTTGTCCTATCATTGCAGTTCCTAACAAAGAATCCCTCTCCAGCTCCCTTGTAGGCCCCTCCAGATACTGAAAAGTTGCTATGAGGTCTCCACATAGTTTCTCTTCTCTAGGCTCAACAGTCCCAACATCCTCAGCCAGTCTTCATAGGGGAGATGCTCCAGTCCTCTAATCAATTTTGTGGCCCTCCCCTGGACTTGCTCCATCAGTTCTACGTCCACCTTATGTCGAGGACACCAGAACTGCACACAGTATTCCAGGTGGGGTCTCATGGCAGCAGAGCAGAGGGGGAGAATCACCTCTTTTGTCCTGTTGGCCAAACTCCTTTTGATGCAGTCAAGGATTCGATTAGCTTTCTGGGCGGCTAGTGCACACTGCCAGCTCATGGTGAGCTTCTCATCCACTGTCACTCCCAAATGTTTCTCCTCATTGCTGGTTTCAATTACTTCCCCACCCAACCTGTAGGTGTGCCTGGGATTGCCATGGCCCAGATGTAGGACCTTGCACTTCATTTTGTTGCACTTCATGAGGTTTGCATTGGCCACCTCTCAAGCTTGTCAAGCTTGAGATGGATCTCCAACATATATCAGGGTTATCGAAATCCCCCATGAGGCCAGGGGTTGCAAGCTTGAAGCTATTCTCATCTGTCTGTAGAGGACTTCATCCACACCCTCCTCCTGATCAGGTGGCCTGTAGCAGACCCCCACTATAACATCCCTTGTCCCAACCCTACCCTTAATTTTGACCCACAGACTCTTGACTATTTCCTCATCCATCCCCAGGCTGAGCTCCACACTCTCTGGCTGCTCACTGACATAGAGAGCTACTCCTCCTCCCCGTCTCCCTAGCCTGTCTTTCCTGAAGAGCCTAAAGCCTTCCAGTCCGATGTTGCAGTCATAGGAGCCAGCCCACCGTGTCTCCATGATGCCAACAACGTCTTATCTACACAGGCACATGCCCATCTCTAGTTCTTGTTTGTTCCCCATACTACCTGGTGTCTCTTAGTCTCCTGACTGTCTCCTGCAGCTCTACCACCTAGTTTTGTAAGTCATCAACCAGGGCACACCTGTTGCAGCAAGGGAGGTTGTCCTTTTCCTGCTTCCTGATACTCCATATCATCCTCATTTCTTCCTTCATCTCTGCTACCATGCTAAGTAGATCTCTTACCTGTTCACACCTTACACATGTATCCTCCCTGCTGCCCTTAGCTATCTTTGCCAGGCTTAGTCATTCACAGCAGCCAGAGACCTGGACGGCTGCATGCTGGTGAGTGCGATCTGTCTGGGTCCCTGTGTTGCTTTGGACAGTTGCTCTGGAGTGAGTGGAAACCATGGCTGGACCTTTTCCAGTTAGGTCATCAGAGACTGCCTTCTGCAATCCTGCATCCTTCCTCTGTGTCCTGCCATGCAAACTGTCATGCAAACTGCCACACCGTCTCTCTGCAAAAATTATCCGTGATGGATGGGGAAGGGTGGTCGCACTGCTTTTGGTGTCGAAGACTGCTGAGGCCAGCCTGACTAATCAATCCTAAAATTAATCATTATCATCATTATCACTTTAAATTGATAATTTATGTTATTTGTGTAAATATATTTGTTTTGTCATTCTTATACCTGTGGGACCAAGTCATATAAAGGCTCAATTACACCTGTATAACCTTTAGACATAAACCACTGACCGAGTCCAGCTGCGCCTAGACTCCTCTCTGAGAAGGAGTTTAGAAAGTAAGAGAGTCTTTTCTGAACCTCATGACTCAATAGGAGGGTATTCCTGATAAACCTTGTCTGAAGCTTCCATTCTGCCCATGACTGTGATTCAAAATCATGCACAAAAGCTCATATCACACTCAGAATAAAATAAATATAAAACCAGAATGTGTGATCAAGCAGGAAGGCAGTCAAAATAAGGATGAGTTTTACCTGCAGTGTGAAGTTGAGAGACTGGAAAAGGCATTCATGGTTTTCCAGCTGAACAAAGTTGGATGCTTCCACAGAATCACCATAGAAAAATGAAGTAGGGAAGACTTCTCTGTAAGATAAAGACACAGATTTAGCAAGCTGAGTCTGTAAGCAAAATTAAATATATTTATGTCTAGCTGAGTTTGCATACATTGCTTTCTAGCCGTGTGAAATTCTACGGGACCATTTTACATTAATCTATTTTTTTAATTTGATTTCCTCTTGGCAACACTAGCAGCATCTCAACTGACCTGGGTTAATATAACATCATTGAAGCAGACTTTTTTTGACTACTTATCTCTTTTTCTCCTTTCCTATCACAAAACCTCTGCTTCAGGGCCCTCTGTCAAGGAGGATTTGTGCAAGTCCCATAGTTTGTGTAAGGCAGGAACTCATTTCACTACCAAGTTAATCTGAAGAAACAGTAACTAATAGGAATACTTTCAGTTACATATTCCCTAAAGTAACATTTCAATTTTATCTAAGATTTATATACCATTGCAGGAATAAACACTTCATAAATTATCTAAGTTTCACTACCTTTATGATTAGCAGATGGTTAAAGGAGAGAGAAGAGAGGGATATAACTTTGCTTTCGACCACAGTGGAACAGGCTGTCTCCTCGACCACTCTTACCATCTTATCACAAAGTAAAACGCAGTACAATTTCATCAGAAATTACTTGGAAGCACAACAGAGTACCTAGAAATCCTGCAGAAGAGGACTAGGAGTGCTTTAAGCATCCTTTGTGCCTCCCTCTAATCTCAGGCTGCTCCACTGTCTGGAAAGGGTCCTGTGTAATTTCAGACAAACTTTGGTCCTCACCATTGCCTAAAACTCTGCTTCCTTCCCAGGTTGTCCTTTGGACCCAGACCTTTTTGAGACAGGATTTTAAGCCTGTTTAGGTACATTTCCTTTTTTCCTGCCCGCCTCCTATGTCAGGGATTGCTAGGGGAAGCAGTGAGAGATAAATTTACTCCTCCCATGTACAGTGTTGTGCCAGAAACATGGTACAAGCCTTTCTGTGCTATTTATGGCCAGGAATTCAGTTTGCTCTCCTTGATTCAAATATAGGATAATTAAGCTAATAAAACAAAAAGACACTGTCCAAAAAAAGAGTATACTAATATTACCATGCCTGAGAATGTTGTGCCCTCCAATAAAACCAATTTTTCTCTGGCAGTTGGACTTTCCTGCAAGCTTGAATTAACCAAGCCTTGTCTATGAGAAAGAAACAAATAATCCACATAATGACTTGTGTGGGGCTTACGAATTCAGAGACCTCGTCCTTTAAAAAAGTACATTCTGAAGAGAAAGAAAAAGCCCAATTTTTATTATTTTGTGGCCTGCAGTATTCTGTAGGTAACAGTGATCTAAAGACAGAGGAAAGCATTCATATCTGTAAAGCTGAACAAAAAAAGTCTGTATCAAGGCACCAAGAAGCAAGGTATACACAGTTAAATTTGTACAGAATTGAATGTAACAATGAAAGCATTTAAAAACTTCCAGAACATGCTGCTGAGACTGTACTCTCAATATAGAGACTTTTGTCCTTGCTAGTCACTTTGTGAGGTCTGAGCACTCTTCATTTTTCTGAGCAGGCTCAAGCATACCTTTTACCCATTCTGAATATTGTAGCAGTAATTAAGGGATTCCATTTCTATGGAACAAGATGGAAATCAACTTCATGGGGCAAAGCCAGTATAGGCCATGAACCTGAGTTTAACCAGCTTTTCAGCCAAATCACATCAGTGCAGGCAAACTTTTTTTCTGCACACGTAGCATACTGGTCAATAGAATATTTGACTTCTACTGACGCCAAGCTGCCTGGGCGTTGTCATAGATGGTGGCTAAAATGGACATTGACCTCCTGGGGATATTGCTGATGAGTTTTTGCTTCCCCAGTTTAGGAATTCATGTCAACTTTCTCAGTCTGCATGAATGCTAATTCCCCCAGTTCCCAACTTCAGCACTGTTTATGCTAAAGGACAGTCTGTCTGTTGAGACTGATCACAAATCTTTTGTTCTAGATTTAAGATTGTGATGCCAAATGGAAGAGAAGAGCATCAAGTACAAAGGCAGGAACTCGCACAGGTACAGCCCTGGAGAGAGGACACAAAGGTTATGTGCTATACAAGTATTTCAGTCAAAGGGTGAATGATGTTCATCAGTTAGTTGGTAGCCAGATGCCTCGCAGACTAGGGAGTAGAGAAAGTGGGAGAACGAACAGAAGCAAATGCAAATTCTGTTATTGAAATTAAACAGAAAGGCAACCAGCTTGTTAAAATCCCAGAACATTTGACCCTAACCTTTGACCTGGTGACCCTCAACCACTTCCTTAAAGACATGCCCTAAAGAACAAGATGTGATTTACTTGTACTTTTATTATTTTAAGGTCCATGATATCTACAGAATCACATGTATTAAAACATGATCACTAAAATGCCTACTATAAATGTGATGATAACCAAATAACATTAGTCAGAAAGGAGTGAGAAAGAGCTACAGTGTTGGAATGAATAAAATTCCCAGATACCAAAGGATGTCCAGCCTGGGAAACAAGGAAAAAGCAAGTCTAGCTATATGTAAACAAAGAGAAGAAGTCATTTTTTCACTGGAAGACACTCTCAGATGTCATTGTTAGGATTATTATTATTACTGGTTTTGTTTGGTGACTGGGACTTACCCATTGATTGACGAGTCCACCTCATGCATCAGGGGCACCAATAGGGTAAGAGTATTATCATGCAGAGATTCATTGCGTTCTGGGTTTCCACTATGCCAGAAAGGAAAAATAAACATGCTATAAACTGACAGCCTTTTCAATATATCACACAGTTTCACAGCTACCATCTCTCTGCCTTGTACTCCAAGCCTCTCTATTTGAGTGGTCAGTTCCGCAAGAAGCCTCAATTAAGAGTTACATTTGTTCACCCACCCTGGAGAGGGCACACACATAAAACATGTCTTTTGTGGCTGCTCTTCTGTGGCTGTGGCGTGACCAGGGTCACAACAAAAACCCCTATGTTGGAGCAAGGTGTGAATTCAATTTTTGCAGGACACTACTGCAGCCATCATTAACAGTGGAGTGAAACAAGGACATTTAGACTCCAATGCAAGGGTTCATTTTCTCCTAGTCTGACCATCCCTCAGTTTGTGAGGGATATACAAACCCCACAGAGAGTCTTGACTCAGAAATTGAAACAATACTTTCAATGTACCTGCACTGTACTACAGCACCAATTTCTTGCCACTGCAAGCAGCTTTTTGGGCGAGACCTTCATACTGAACTGGCCATAACCTCTCAGCAGTTCCATCCCCTCTGTCCTGCCTCTTCCTGTACTTAGCTGCCAAAATGAAAACACTTCTACTTTACATTTCCAAAGGCACTTGTCTCAACTGGTCAAAAGCAGAAAGAAAAAAACAGAAAAGTGAGCAATTATCTCTCATTTCAGTCAGTTTACTTCAGTGTGAACACTTATGTACAAGGTCTGTTGAAATGCATGTTCAACATGCAAACCTGCAACTGTTCTAATTCTAGTGGTGAGTCTGCTCAGTGGGTGACAGCTCAGAAGAACAATATGTTACATATATTTCCACTTTTGTCTTGCAGTTCATTTAATTTGCTCACAAATCAAACTCTCAAAACCAAAGATACGATCATATTTATTTGAGGACAGTATCACTGAGGCAACAGCAGGCAGTAACATCCCAAGTGATACCATTCAGATTATGAGTTGCTCAGGTTACAAAAAAAGAGTCTGCTGGCTACATACATGCATAGACATGTCTCAGCTTTATGCAACTGACACATTGGCCATGTCTGCTAATAAAACTATAGCCCAGATGGAGAAACCCACAAACTTTCAGTCCTGGGAATAAAACCCAACCTACTTAATAAAAGGTTTTCCTCTGAACAGATTGAAAGAAGAATCCAAAATGGTCCAACACAAATACCGAGACACCATGGTGGCAAACAGAATAAGCCAGTAGAAGTCCATATGGGTTCATGGATATGTGCTTATCTGTTTCAAATGGAGCAATATATAGTTCTAAAGCAATAGCTCTTTCTCCAATTGATCTGTCCCACTAGCATCTTGTTACAGATGCTACTGTCAAATTTGCAGCTTCAAGGGACAGGCTTGAGTGGCCACTTGAAGGGCAATACTTGCTTTCCCGTAACAGTATGACATAACTTCTGTGCCTCCAGTCAATTCTGCCAGACTAGTTTCAGTTTTATGTGGAAACAATGTTGTCACTGATTGCAGTCTGGCCACAGCACAGGCACTTCCCCTCCACTGCCTTTACCCCCGACCTCTGCAGTAGTCGAAAGACACCTATTTGACAGTGAGGGAACTGAGTAATTGCTGAAAGTCACAGAAAAAATTAAGGCAATCAGCACTGAAGTCTGCACTGTGGTCTTTCAAGGTTCAACTGAAGTCTTCAAAACATAGCTGTCCTCTTGTTCATCCTTCTGGAATAAGAAACATCCTCTTGACCCCTCTGAATATTCAACACCATACAAATTACTGTTTATTTCTTTGCTACATCTAAAGGCACTGACTAACACTTCTCACTGGTAGGGCACAGTGAGTGAGATTACAGAGGAAAGTGCTGTGCTAGCCAAGCAGGGAAATGGGAGTACAACCTGGAAAACACTGTCTGGTAAATTTAAAGCACTGCTGACCCATCTTTGCACTAGCTGGCATTCACCGACCTAGCCAATACTGATGTATCTCTCCAATCGAGAAGCATCAGGGTCATCCGAACACATGATGGAATTCTCTTAATGGGGAATAAACTTCCCTAACGTGCAAGACATGACCTTGCCTCTCTGACACGAGGTCTCACTTTCAGTGCTTCATACCACCCCCACGTTCTGCAGAATCTTGTTCCCATCTACAGCTGTTAATGCAGGGGAGGACAATGCCTTATGAGAGTAGTCACCCAGCAGCTGCTACACTGTATCTCTCATCTGCAGCCATTTGGAGAGGGGTCATCCAACTGGAGAGGAGAATTCAGGCTGGAGATCCTGATTTTGACATGGAAGGGTATGAAGCTGATTCACTCACACGATAAGTGAAGGCAGGGAGCAGCCACACACCCAGCAGCAACCAAAGTCAAATTAGAAGTTCACGACCCAGGTTAATGCAGTTGTACTATCACTGGCTCCCACACACACCTTGACAGTGCCTGTGAATGAATCACCCATGGAGATTGCTTCTTTGTGGCATATTATCTTAGGAGGTACAGGGCATGTATCACACCTTTTATTCTGCTCAAGATAAAATGCCAATGCATGCATACTCTACTTCAGTGCCTACTCCAAGTGCCCTGGGGAAGTATCCTATTCACATGTTTTCTGCAGTCTGTCATAGCTCACTGATGATCCAGAGGAGGTAAAAAAAGACATGCAGCTTTGGAGCCTGTCAGTGAGACTCCCCGACCATCTGATTAAAGCATTTATCTTCTTTGGTTTGCATCCAAGCATGTTTATTACACTCAAATGCTGGAACAAATGGGTGTGTCTGGTGCTGATCATCAACAACGGAGCTGAGCTTGTTACAGGGCTCAAAGAGATGGCCACAGAAACACAGGAGCGTTTCGACTGAGAGAATACAGAATGTTCCTTCAGAATTGCAGCTGCCTGGCAAAAAACCCTGAGTATCATCCTACCTGATTTTTCAGGAAGCTTCAACACATGGATCCTCTGTGTCACCAAAATGCATGCATTTAGCTCCAGTAATTTAACCTAATTTACTACACCTATATGCATCTACAATTAATATTACACAAATGTCAAGCATATGTAATGCACACTTCATGCAACAAAGAATATCCAAGTTATCCAGATGTATAAAGGTCTCCTTACCTTTGGGCAGTGACAAGGAATGTAAGCGTTTCTTCCTGCCCAGACAAGTGGCTCGTGTCAAAGATCACACTGAACTCATACTGCACAAAGAAAAAGCAATATTTAGAGACACCACGTATTGTTTCAAAATGTATTTGTTCTGAAACTTCATATATATTTTATTGGCCTAGTTGCACAAAAGTAGAATATTTTGATACACGTAAGAGAGTTTCCTCTTCTGCAGATTAGCTTTTCAGTCTTAGCAATTGTTTCTCTGTTCGAATACAAGAGAGTTTAGTTTTTCCTTTATTAAAAAGAGGCCTTTACTAGAACTGCCATTTGAAGATATTTTTTGAGGAGATCATCTGCCTGGGAAA